TGGTACATCAAATTGCCTTCAGAATTTCATATATGTATGAAATGTTATTTATATTTACATTATTACTCATAATACAATAATGAAAATAACTGTCGTAGGCTGTGATTTTTGAGACAGGGCTTCAGGTGCAAATGACTTAGTAAGGGAATGAGTCTTCAGGAAAAGCTTGTAAAGTAGTAGGGAGCTGGAGGAACAGGGTAGGAAAAGGGAAGCACCGGGCAAGGAGGTGATCTCAGTCTAGTCAGAGACTAACTGGGAGAATGGAGAGGCTCTGGAGCTTAAATCACACATCAGAGTTACTCTGCACTAAGGTGAAGATTCCGGGCTTTGGCGCTGCTATATCAGAGAGGCACTGTCCTCCCTGGGGTGCATTATAACCTCCGGTTCCTCTTGGAAAAATGGAACCCATCAGCCAATGGCAAGTATCCAAAGATGGTCGCAGGTGTTAGCTGATAGCTGCAACACTGTTGGATCTGAGGGCTGGGCACAGTGGTCCATGGAGGAGCCCTGGGTGGGACACCAACAGGATCTCCTCTAGCTGCTAAGACTTAGTCTAGACTATGTATCTGGCACCATCATAAGTGCTTTATGTGTATTAACAAACTTAACCTTTAAAATAACCCTATAATGTAGTTACTGTTACATTTTACAGTGCAGGAACTGAGGCATAGAGTTTAAAAGTGACTTGCTTAAGTTTTCTCAATAAGTCAATAATGGAGCTAGGTTTAGACCAAGGAAGGGTGGTTCTAGATTCCATACCTTTAACTGCTACCTTGAATACCTCAGTGTATTTTGAGTTTTAGCATGTACCAGGCACTGTGTTAGCCACTGGGAATTCAGCAGTGAATGAACACAAAAATCCCTGCCCACATTGAGTTTATTTTCTAGTGAGGAAAGATGGACAATAAATAAATAAATAAATAAAAACACATGATCCGGATGGTAATAAATGCTAAGAAAAAAATAAATCAGGGAAGGGAAGTGGGTAGTGCTGTGTAACAGCTGTAGCTTCACTTACGAAGCATTTTAACAAAGATCCAAAGGAGGTGGCTATTGCCACTCCCTCTGGCTGACCCCAGTATACTCTCCCTCTGCACAGCTAGGAGTAATCTATCCAAATCACCTGATCGTGTTCCTTCCCTGAATGGCACCCTTCAGTGGTTCCCATTGTTCTCAGGACAAATCCAGCACTCTTGCCATCCTGACATGACACCTGCTTCCATTTCTGCCTCTTCTCTGGTGTTCAGGGCAAAGGTACAAATGGAAACCCCCATACCCTGTGTCTAAATATTGAAAATTAATATATCAAGCTAACAAACTGTTAAGTAAAACACGTTCTATCCTTCTACCTTGACAAATGTATCTTCACTGTGGCAGAGGGGAGCAACTTCTTATTTAGACCTGTTGGACTCCTCTGAGTTCCATGCCAGAGCTTAGCAGCACAAGGAGACCAGTGCCCAGGCCATGCTCTACCTCCTTTCTCTACCCACTGCTGCCCATCTCTGTCTTCCACTTCCAGGGTGGGGGGACCTCATGCATGCACATGCACTCCCCAGCTCACATACCTATGTTCTAGCCATACCTTTGCAAATAGTGGCCCTTTGCCATTCTGGTGCTCATACTGGTAGTGTTACTTGCCTTAGAGGACTAAACCTGGGGAACAGGTACACATGGGCCCAGGGAGTAGGCTAAGGGCCCTTTGGGTAGAGAATTTTGGGGTTTCAGGTACTAGAAGCTTGGTCTACAAGAGAGGTCAAGGTACAGCACAGACTCTATCTGGGCAAGTCTCCTTGGCCCCAGGGAGGGATGGGAGTGGGAGGGTCTACAAGAAGAGGGTTAGAGCCCAGAATAGGGCTGTCTATGTATCACTGTCATCAGTCTCTTCCTTACCGACGTGTGTAAATCAAAGGGAATTGCTTGAACTTTCTCAATATGCCATGCTCCTTTGCATTTATGATTCTGTAATTTTGCAGACTGCAGAATAGGGGTCATTCACTTGGACTCTTTGCCATGATTTCTCTTATCTCCTATGAGCTCCCTAACCTAATCCCCTCATTGCTGACTTTTAATGCCCATTACCAATGACCAAGATACCGCTCATAGTGGCAATGGTGGTGGGATGTAAAATCATAGAGTGACCTGAGTGTGGGCTTTCGAGTGAACAGTCCCGGTTTTGATTATTTGCCTAGCCTCCTGCTAGTTATGTGGCCTTCAGCAAATTCTGTGCCTCAATTTCACTATCTCTTACATGGAGATTACAATACTATGTTTATAAGGTATTGGGAGGATAAAAAGAAATACCACATGTCAAGTGCTAGCTACAGTCCCTGGCATAGAATAAGCACATGTAAGAAGTTCTTTTCCCTCCTCCAGCTATGCTGCTTATTTGAAACCAAATGCACAAAGCACCTTGAGAGATTAGGCTGTTTCACAGAAAGATGCCATTCAGATTAGCTCCCAGCCCCCGGGCTTCTTTCCCCATCCCCTGTGTTAGTAAGAACTTACTAGAGAATATTAGTACCCGATTTCTAATGTACTTGTGTACTGACCACCACATTTAGATGGTGGGATAGTCCAACTCCAGCTCTTGGTAGCAACACTGACTATTTGTTGCTAGGGATGGAGATTTCTCATGTTAGCACAATCATGGTAACAGGGATAGAGCCTGAGAAGCAGGTACACAAGGAAGTTGGTCATATCAAAGGAAAGGTAAAACCTACAGTTACCTTGCAGTGCCTGACTTAAGTGGGCATGCAACAATTATGAGTCAGGCTGAACAAAACTAAGCTCAAAGAGAAAAGCCATTAAATCCCAGTAGAAAAGTGGATAAAAGAACTGCTTAGGTAAGTCACAGAAGAAATACTCCTGGGCCAATAAACTACAACTAATAATCAGCGAAATACAAATTTAAATGTAATGCACTATTTTGCCTAGAAAATGGACAAAGATTTCAGTGCTGATGAGAATACAATAAGTTGATATGTCCTGCAAAGCAGTAATGAGAACTGTTGAATAATTTATGGTGTACATATAAGATGGGTGGACTATGTGTCATTAAATGTAACAGTTTCAAAGAAATTTTAGACATGAGAGAAAACTCTGTGTTACAGTGAGAAGTAGAACACCGTATGGTATGAAAATTACATGCACAAAAAATATTGGAAGGAAATAGGACAGAGTATCATAAATACCTACCATTAGCACATCTTTCATGGATCTTTTGAACTTTTCTATAATTAGCAGGTGTCTCTTTTATAATGTGAAAGAAATTCCATAATTTAAGAAAATGAGCCCTCAGTGGATTGAACACGGGCCTGTGAACCAAAAGGTTGCCAGTTCAATTCCGATTCAGGGCACATGCCTGGCTTGTGGGCCAGGTCCCCAGTGGGGGGCACGTGACAGGCAACCACACATTGATGTTTCTCTTCCTCTCCCCCTCCCTTCCCCTGTCTCTCTAAAAATAAATAAATAAAAAGAAAAAAAGAACAAAAAAAATGACACATTGCTTTCATACAATAGGTCAGACAAAAATTATTTATGGATGACTCTGGCCACTTGATGACTCAGATTTGGGAGAAACAAAGATTCAGCCTTCTTCCTACGCTGAATCTAGTCCTTTGTTTCAACAAGAAGAAATGGAAAGAGTTTTTGCCTGCGCAGTTTCCCTGTCTATCTGGGAGTCCTGCATCAGCTGCCTTATGCTTGAGACAATCACGCAATCGCAGGAACTGTGGTCTCCTCACCAGGCTGTGACATTTTCCTCACTGTTGAGATCTGAGAATGAAGCCTGGAAAGAGATTTTATTTCCATTTGTGGCTTAATCCTTCCAACTGTGGCCTTCCCTCCGGTAGCTGTAAGAGATTGTTATGTGGTGGTGCACATCTGTGGGCCATGTAGCAGGCACAATGGTTTAGGCAAGTATAATCTGGGGAATGGGAAATTAGTGAAAGATCCTAAGAAAATACTGCACTGGTGTTTATATAAAAATGTGAATTAACCACAGTATATTTTGAGTTATAAAATAAATGAATATGTTAAATAAGCCAAGAAGAAGAGAAGGCCCCCTAACTACCAAAACAAACTTTCTTCCAAACTGAGATGCTGTAACTATTTTGACCTTCATTTTTTTCTTTTGAATCTTATGAGTTACAGTTAAAGTCAAAGTGTTTGAATAAACTTTGCTACTTAATAAGTTACATAGCAACATTTTGATTCACTTAGCCTGCCCCTCTCTTAACTTACTGAAATATGCCTTTTTTATACCCTCTCATAATGGAAGTACATTAGACAACAGACTGTATCCACCTTTCTAATCTGCTCCACCTGGCTATGAGTAATCAGCATGACTCAACCACCTGATTTTTTTATAAGTTGACAAACATTTCAAACTATAAGTAATACATCTTAAATACAGTAGTGGCAAATATGTATTATTAATACTTTGTGTGTCATCTCTTATAAATTGAGAGATCAGCATAGAACTTTTTATTAAAAAAGCTTCTTTGGCCCAGTGAGTGGCAAAGTGTACCAGTGACTGCCATTGTTATGGGAATGGGGAAGCACAGCACTCATGCCAACCACTTTCCATCTCAGATTTAAGGGCGACAGAGTCCCTGTCTTTAGAGAGCTTGATTCAAATGGGGGAAACATGATTCCTCACAGCAGCAAGAGAGACAAAAACTAAATGTAAAATCAAACATAATTGTGAATACCCAAACAGTAAACACCCCAACATACGCAAATAACTATAGGGAAGGCTGAATTATTTGCTAGGTGCTAGAAAAAGGCAGAATGCCCTCAGACAGATGGAGTTAGTCTAGAAAGGTTTTCTGAAGCAGTGCATTTTAGAGTTGGATTGGAAGACAGCCAGGAGACCTGGTGTGAAGTTGGTAGGGTGGTCCAGATTAAAAGGAATGTAGATTTCCTGATGCTTTTTCACTTTGTACTTTAAAGTCCCAGCTGCCCAGAGTAACCATGCCTGACCTCTGACCTCCCCACAGTGAGGACGTGTGCAAACGTGGCTTCACCGTCATCATCGACATGCGGGGCTCAAAGTGGGACCTCATCAAGCCCCTCCTCAAGACGCTACAGGAAGCTTTTCCAGCCGAGATCCATGTGGCCCTCATCATTAAACCCGACAACTTCTGGCAGAAACAGAAGACCAACTTTGGCAGCTCCAAATTCATCTTTGAGGTGAGCCAAACTGCTCTCTTAGCACCCCCTTTCCTTCCACCACCCACACATTTCTTACTTGTGCTTCTCCATCTGCCTGACTGTGTGCATGCTGGTGGCTAGTACCTCAGGATTCCTTGGCTACTGTGGTCTTACCATTTAGTACCTGGGGAGGAATAAGAGGATCAAGAAGTTGTCCCGAATGCTCAGTGTTAGTAGGCAATTCTGTGAATGCATAAATTAGGACAATTGTTTCTTGGGGAAACTTTGTAATTTGGGTCAAATGCCTTAAAAAGAGTTTATAACCATTGATCTAGTAATTCTTCTTGGAAAAAAGTTTTAATATAAAAACAAAAGAAAACCTTTTTAAAGTCTAATTATAATCATAAACAAATAAAGGTCTACATACAAGGATGTTCATTCGTCATAGTGTTATTTGCAGTAATATACATATACATATATACATATACACGCAGACATATATAGTTTGTATTCTATCCATTAATTTTAGTGACATTAATACACAAATTCTACAGTCATTAAAATCATATTTAGTTAATATGTTAATTATATCTCAATAAAAATCATATTTAGAAAAATAGTGTCTGAAAAGTGTTTATGAAATATTATTTTAAAATGGCAGGTTATAAGATAGTATGGGCATATAATCTAAAGGTTTTTTTTAAGTGTATATATGAGGAAGACTGAGAGACATGTGAAAACGTTAGTAGATCATTAGAAGTGGCTGTATAATAGGTGATTTTTATTTTCTTCATATTTTCTATATTCTTTTATACTCAGGGAGCATATTTTTTTAAAACTAATTATCCCACACAGCAATGTGTCCCCTGAGAATTTTTAATGATAACATATCAGATTAAATCAATGATTTAGGAAACTTTCTTCCAGCTAAATTTGAGCTTTTCCCTTTTCTCAGAACTCTAGTCCTCATCTGCAAGGGGATGACTCTTGTATATGTGTGCATGTTGGAAAGGCAGAGATGCTCTTAAACTTGTAGCAACTTCCCATTCCAGCCCCTTTCCCCGCAGGGCCAGGAGCCCCTCTTGCGCTGCGGTGGCCCCAGGGGTCTGGGGCTAAGCATAACCACCTGACCACCTGAGCAAAGCAATTCTCATTCTGTTTAAATAGCACAAAAAATTGACTTGGTATAAAAACAGTTATACCCCTACCCAACATTAGGAGTCCTGTATTTTTGTAGTTTTGGTTTATTTGTACAGAGGCACTGATTACAAGCCTATATATTTATAACATGAAAAGATCAAAAGTAATCTTTCTAACAAGTCCTGAAACTTTTCTTCAGTGTAGCTGCTTAGCCCTTCCCATCTCCCTTCACCCCAAGTTGAGCCTCCTAAACAAGAAGTATAGGAGAGAGAGCTGGGGCCTCCCACTCAGAAGAGTATTTATAAAGCAGTGCCTTACAAACAACCAATGAAATACCACATGCAGCCTGAGAGTATGGATAGTTAATGAATAATTGGTGAATATAATCATGGGAGACTCCCAGGACGTGGTAAACTTGGAGCCAGACTTTAAGGGAAAAGTGCCCTGGAACAGGGCTGCTCCAAGTTTAATGCACAGAGTCCCCTGGGGATCTCATTAAATGTAGATTCTGATTCAGCATATTTGGGAGAGTTCTGAGGTGCTGCAGTTCTAACAAGCTCCCAGGTGCTTTTAATGCTGCTGGCCCTAGGGCCACACTTTGAGTGGCAAGGATCTAGACGAGCAGAGGTTTGTAGCATTGGCTGCACATTAGAATCACCTGGGGAGCTTTTAAACCTATGCGCGCCTATGCTCCAATCCAGGCCAACTAAATCAGAGAAGGGTATCTGCTACCAGGGAGAGCCTTGGTGTGGCAGGACTGCCCAGCCTGAGGCAGGAATAGACTCAGATCCTTGCAGCACAAGTATTGACACACATCGCTTAATGCAACTGTGATGATGTCCTGGGTCATGGACCTGCATGGGTTCTTAAGCTGCGGATAACTAGATCTCCACGCACTGGGTCTGTTTTTCTTCCAGCTTCTCCTGCTTCTAGCATCTGAAGCCCCATTGCAGTGGACTGGGGAGTGGGGAGGAGGAAGGTGAAGGCAGCAGAGACTTAAAGGCAGCCCTTCCTGAAATGACAAATGGGCAGGTGGAGAGGCTTTTTGAGCCAGCCAGCCAATCTACTGAAACTGCTTACCCTGGCAGATCTGTGGCTAATGCCCAGTGGGTCACGTGCCCCCCCAGGCAGGCTCTGATCATTATTATGTGGACTTCTCTTGTCCTTTCCCCTTGACTTTCTCTCCTCTCATCTACTGCTGCCCTGGTCTTCTGCTCACTCCCTCCACCTCACTGAGTCCCCCTCTCTGTGTTTGCCCTCCAGACGAGCATGGTGTCTGTGGAGGGCCTCACAAAGCTGGTGGACCCCTCCCAGCTGACCGAGGAGTTCGATGGCTCATTGGACTACAATCACGAGGAATGGATTGAGCTGCGGCTCTCCCTGGAGGAGTTCTTCAACAGCGCTGTGCACCTGCTCTCACGCCTGGAGGACCTGCAGGAGATGCTGGCCAGGAAGGAGTTCCCTGTGGATGTGGAGGGCTCTCGGCGGCTCATCGATGAGCACACACAGCTCAAGAAGAAGGTGCTGAAGGCCCCCGTGGAGGAGCTGGACCGGGAGGGGCAGCGGCTACTGCAGTGCATCCGCTGCAGTGATGGCTTCTCAGGGCGCAATTGCATCCCTGGCAGTGCTGACTTCCAGAGCCTGGTGCCCAAGATCACAAGCCTGCTAGACAAGCTGCATTCCACCCGGCAGCACCTGCACCAGATGTGGCATGTGCGCAAGCTCAAGCTGGATCAGTGCTTCCAGCTGCGGCTTTTTGAGCAGGATGCGGAGAAGGTAGGAGGGGAGCACACCCACCTGGGACTGGGGTTCAGGGAAGAGGGCACGGCTTTTTAGAGAAACTGATTGAGGCTGCTAGTCCAGCTTTCTGATTAATGACAATACTTTTGTCATAATACTTATGTGGAAAGCTTTTTTTGTTTGTTTTTTAAATGCTTACTGGTGTTAGCTGGTATGCATTTATTTCAATCTTATATCTGGTCATTGATCACTGACTTCTTAAAGCTCTCTTTATGTAGTGTTCATTGTGCCCCCGGTACTGTTCTAAGGATCAAGTGTAAATTAGCTCATTTTCATCCTCTCTAGTCCTATAAGGTAGGTGTATTATCATTATCCTATTTCACCGATGAAGAAACTGAAAGGCTAAATAACTTGGCCTAACAGGAAAGTTCAATGCAGCCCCAGAGTCCATGCTTTTCCCCAGTGCTGGACGCTGCCCGTCTCAGGACATGTAGTGAATGATTCAAACTGGCTGACCAACAAAAATAACAACTCTGTTACCAGCCACAGTAACATGACTTTGTGATTATGGCTATGCAGTGTACTTGATGGCTGAGAAGCATTTCACATGCAGAGCCTTATTTAATCTGCATGGCTTTTCCACCCTTTGAGGTGCATGGCGGCGACTCTGCTGAAGTGCAGGGAAATGGGGAACTTCTTGATCTTGGGGCTCCAGCGGCAGACTTGATGTATGAATCCCGTTGCTTTTTTTTTTTTTTTATTTTGAAGTGCAGGACTCTTTTTGGCATCCCACTTCTTTTTGAAGGTTTTTCCTCAGAGTATCAGCACTTTAGGAAGGCCCCATTTTTCCAGCAGTGAATTTTCATAGCCTTCCCCTCATCAGGGGAGATATGAGAAAGTGAAAAAGAAAAAGGTACCATATAGTGCCTCTTTGCCAAGGACACAAATGTATCTTCTCTAGGTTCTTTTCAAGCTAAAGAAGAGACTTTACTACTATATGTGCTTTAGGGTGAATGAAATGCCTCTCTTCCTAACGCTTTTCTGGAAATAATTTTAACTCGAATGCACAATACTACTCTACATCTCTCAGTGACCTGTGAATTTTACAGACAGTGTCTAATATAATGGTTTTGTGTCTTTTCAGAGCTCATGTTGAAAATGCCTCCAGATATTTTTAAGTGATAAAATCAGGATATAAAATTCCATATAATGATGATCCTAATTTATGTGAAAGTGCCAGCATAGGTATAGTTGGAAGAAAATTCACCACAATGTTAATAGTTTTGATTTCTAGGAACCAAGCTTATGGTTAATTTTAATTTCTCTGTGTAAATTTTATGTATTTTCCAATTTTTTATAACTTATAATCAGAAGAAAATCAATATATGCACTTTTAATAGAATGCATAACCGCTTTCTACAATAGGACTTTAGAACGTCATTTAAGCCAGACTTTGTAAGGGACTTGTAAAGGGGTTTCTTGCATAACCTTAGGAGTTGCAGGGTTTTCCCTGACCTTCCTGCGGGCTCCTTGAGCAGTGACCTGGCAGCCTGGGTCTGACCCCAGCCTGCTCTGGGGAGGGCCACTTGGAATACAGAATCCTGTCACTATTCACCAAGTGATGAGAAACCAGGTCAGGAACATGTTAAATAATAAAATCTACTTAAAGTCTCACAACTACCATAATTTCAAAGTAGCGATGAGCAAAAAAAAAAAAAATGATATTTTAAGGCGACAACCCTGATGTGATATGAAAATGTGTATATTTCTACTGATGTCAGAGACACAAGTGTTGCTAACAGTAATGTAGTTTGTTGCTTGCTTTCGTAATTGAAGTGAATGCTGTATGTTAGTTAGAGGGTAGTGAAAATAAAGGCATATTTTTTTCCCCATCCAAGTACATGATCTTAGAATCCAATACTCTTAAGTTTAGGTTCCGTGTACTATGATGTGCTCATACCTTAAAAAGTGTGTGCGTGCGCATGCACGTACTTGTGTATGTGTATGTGTGGTATACAGAGGGGTAGGTGAGGAGAGGGGAGAGAATATCAAAAACAAAGCAGAGAGAGTGAAAACATGCTAGGAAGAGAGCAGCCCAGGAATATTTTGATATTGAGCCAGTGGTGAAAATGCCACTCAAGCTTGACCCAGCTTCCACAGAAAATATGCTGGGTGTGGGGAAGAGGAGAAAAACAGTCCTTTTAAGTTGCTTCGAGATTAATTTATGTGTGCAGAACTAAGTGCCTCAGCTCTTGACATATTTGGTGTTTTTGAAAGGGGGTGAGGAGGGTGGTGGTTTGGGTGAGCGTTGTGTATGTGGATCCACATCTAAACAAGGCATGAGGAAATAGTTACTGCATGAGCCATGTCTGAGCCTCCTTTCTGGTGGGAGGCTTGTCGCAGGTCTCTAATTTCAGATCTGTCAAGTTCTTGGCAGTCAGAGGAGTCTAGTGATCACCCAGCTTCTATTTTTGTTAGGGGGTGTGTGCAGAGTCCCCCTTTGGCCCTGTGGGGTGACAGCCTGTTTCCCAGGGCTTGAATAATAGGCAGCGCTCCCCATTTGCCATCTGGCCCTGGAGAGCAAAGCCACCACTTACCACCTTCCCTGACCTCTGTGATGACTCCCTACATTCTTCATCTTGGGGGTGGTGGAGAGGGAGCTATTATCTCTCCCAATTAAGCATTTAGGGAGGAGGGGCTCTGTTCCACAGATAACTCATAAAGCAGGGCACCCATTCATTTAATAAACTTCTGTTGAGCATCTGTCATCAGCCCAAAACAAGGCATTTGGATAAAGACAAGTAGGCCAGAATTTTTGCCTTGGAGCAGCAAGCTGTCATAAACTGCTGTTTATTATTATTTATGTCTGCTGTATGCATCCTGCTATCCTAGACACAGCCTCTGTGATCGGGGAGTTTTTAGAGAATGGAGTATATTGCAGCTCAGAAATGACAGGAGAACCTTACTGAACAACTTGTGAGAGAGCTGGGTAATACAGAGGTAATGCAAGTAATACACAATACATCTTGCTGGAAGATGGACACCACTGCCTTAGCACTGTGCCCTCTGGTCTATAACTAATGGGCCTGTCCTCCACTGTGTTCACAGAACACAGGCCAGGTTGCTCCTCATTAGCCAGGCACAGATTATGGCTCTCTTTGCAGCCCTATTTCACAGCCAGCTGCCCCCTTAGCTGCAGTGGAACTTGTGTGATGACAGTGTCTGCTCTGTAATCACATCCCATTCCCAAAGAGAAGAGAGGCCTCTTTCTCATTAGGGGGCAGTTTGTGGTATTTAGGATCATTAAGTAGACTCATTGTAGATGTCTCCTTGGAAAAGGGAAGGCTGGGTGCTAGTCAGTTGAGGATCCTCCCTTGTCTCCTCCCCTTTCCTGGGTACCTAAGACACCTTAGACTGGTACAACTGGAAGAGACCCTGACATAGAAAACTGTCTACCTCCCCATGCATTGTAGGAAACGCAGCCTTGCCTTCCTGGTCACAGCCATGTGACCTTATTATGCCCATCTATGTGCTGATGTCAATGATAAGTATCAGAAAATACCGAATCTACCGTACCACCTGCCGTCCAATCCGGGGAAGGCCTACAATCTTCCAGTCTTTGTTGAGGAGGAGAAGTGCTAACTAGACTTAACTGATGGAGAAGCCTTTGTCTACTTTGATTCTGAAAAAAAGAAGCTATACTGATGTCTACCCAGGATACCCATACCCTAGTCTTCTCCAAAGCCATTCTAGGAAGGAGTATATTCCCACTTCCTATGGGAGAATCCCCAAGAGTGGACAAAGCTACCCAGTGGGGCTTCCAGTATTAGAATTGTGCTTATTATTAGTTTATGCATCATGTTGTGTTTGTTTCCTGTGGAAACCTGTTCTTGGGACATGCCCACACAAGATCTTTATCACAATGCTGGGGAGGATATTTAGGTACCCACCTCCTCTATGACCAAGCCACCTACCCAGAGGAGGACCTCTCATTTGCCTGTGGGACGTTGGCCTCACCATACCACCTGTGGGAAAGCTCCCTTTAAGAACCTAATTTTAAATGCCTTCCTTCATATTCATTCTTGCATGAAAAATCCTTTTCACCCATGGGTGCCATGTTCGTGCCGAAATGGAGCTGTGTGAGTGGCGGTTCAGGTTTGTCCTGGGGTGTCACCAGTGGGAGACCTTGCGTACATCTTTGACTTCTGTCACCCAATTATATTCCCAATAAAACAAAGATGAAGAATTTGGGTTAGCTTCAGTGACTTTTGACTTTTCTTCTGCTTCCACTTGCACTATTCTCATGCACAATACTCCCTCTTTGTGAAAGTGTCTTTCAATGGGAGAAGTGGGATGGCAGGGCGTATGTGTGCTCATGATAGTGGTGGTAGAGAATACGCTTGCAGGGGTCATGTCAGCATTTCCAGGGTAGTTCGATAAAGGCCTCCACCCACCCCAACCAAATGTGCCTGCTATTCTTCCTCCTTTGAAACGCTGCATTAAATGATACTTAAGCCCCTTTATAGCTCAACAATTGCATAACAATTTTTGCTTTTTTGCAATTCATTCTCCCTGTATGTTTATAGGAGGCTCTTTTCTCTTCAGGATTGTCACCTTGGGTGATGATAGAAAATAAGAAACTTTTCTCAGCAAATAGAATCATAATCTGTTGAGTTCTTTTCCTGCTTAAAAAAAAAATAGCCCAAGCTGCTGCCCAGGGTTGTTATGAGAGTCGGATGGGATAATGTATATGGTAATGCCTGGCACCATGCCCAGCCCAGCATAGCTGCTCCCTAGGCATTGGCTTCCCTGCCTTCTCCCTGCACTATTTCAGTCATGATTTACTCTTCAGTCATGTGGCACCTACTGAGACCATGCAGAGTGTCATTGATGCTACCTTCCACATGAACTTGCCCCGAATAATTTTCAATGATTCCTAATGGAAAAAAAAATCAAGAATTGAGCTTTGAAGAGAAGTCTGAAGCCACAGAGGGAAGCTATTCTCCCCAGGGGTGTGTGATAACCCCTCCCCCTGC